ATAATTTCGATGATCTTTGTCGAGTGGGTGAGGGAGAGCATTCTGGGACCATGGTGTTTTGGATTATGCATTTGGTAACTGCGAGACAACTGTGTTTTTGGAAGGCATACAAGTTGTCACTATTGTGCTGTAGACAGTTTCAACCAATCTGGAAATAATTGGATTGTGAGGTGATTAATACAAAGATAGCCACAGTATGAATGGTGATTGCAGAGATGTAAAAATTTAAATGATTCCACATTGTAGATGTGGAAAACTGATCCTATGCCTAACAATGTCTCCATGCGGTAGCGTGTAGATAGGAGAAAACAAAGAATGCAACCTTTAGTCACAATAATAGTGACTGCCTGAACATCATAACATAAAACTGTTTAAGGAGATGCCAGGATGTATTTTTTCCAGTTCCTGTTGAAAGTTGTTCTTACAGGGAGTACCAGGAATCACATTGCACAACTAGTGACTTTTGATCATTAAAATTCCAGAAAATGCACAGTGGGAGCATGAATTGATCAAGTAGTTATTTGTGTTGGAACATGTAGGATTAAGTAACAAGAGCACAGTCCTATGTAAGACAGAACATTGGAACCATTAATAGTGCTTGAATTGTCAAGAAGGTGGAGGTGAAACAGTAAGTTATACTTGCCATCAGAAAGAACTTTATCAGACTGGTGTATGTACTGTAACTTATAAATCCAGATTGGAGATACTTACATAGCTAATAACACCGTTAAGACATTAAGATATAGGAGCAGAATTAGGCCATTCGGGCCATCGAGTCTGCTCCACCATTCGATCATGGCTGAAATGTTTCTCTACTCCATTCTCCTGCCTTCTTTCCATTACTCTTGAGCCTCTTACCAATCAAGAACGTATCTATCGCTGTTTTAAGTACACTCAAAGACTTGGCCTCCATAGCCCTCTGCAGCAATCAATTCCACAGATTAACCATCGTTTAGCAGAAGAAATTCCTTCTCATCTCCGTTCTAAAGAATCATCCTTTCAACCTGAGGCTGTGCCCTAAGATCCTAGTTTCTCCTACAAGTGGAAGCATCTTGTCAATGTCCACTCTATCCAGACCTCAGTATTCTGAAAGTTCCAATCAGATCCCCCACCCCCTTACTACAAAATTCCATCAAGTACAGAGTCCTCAGTCACTTCCACATGACAAGTCTTGCATACCCAGGATCATTGTTGTAAACCTCCTTTGGATGCCCTGCAATACCAGCACATCCTTTCTTAGGTACGGGGCCCAAAATTGCTCACAACATTTCAAATTCAGTCTGACCAGAGCCTTATACAGCCTCAAGAGTACATTTCAGCTCTTGTATCCAAGCCCTCAACATGAATGCTAACAATGCATTTGCCTTTCTGTTAATGTTAAGAGAATCTGAACTAGGACTCCCAGGCACACTTGTGCTTCAGATTTCTGAAACCTTTTCCCACTTAGAAAACAGTCTTCGCCTCAATTCTTCTGACCATAGTGCATGAGTTCATGTTTACCGACACTGTATTCCATCTGCCACTTCTTTGTCTACTGGCCCAGCCTATCCAAGTCCCTCTGTAACCCAGTGTTTCCTCAATAGAGACACAATAATGGCATTTTTGAACATTTCAAGAGAAAACATAGGTTAGAAATCAGCTGCTTTTTGAAAATAAACAAATGGAGTTGAAAATTCACTCTTTGTTTCAAGTCAGGCAATTCTTATAATGAATTTAAAAGAGATGGGAATAATGTTTGAAGAAGGAGAAACGTTGACAATGTCATGTAGAATGAGAACAACTGAAAAAAATTGGTGATCAGGAATTCCATAGGAATAAAGTTGAAGGAACATGTGATGAGAAAGTTGCTGAATTTTGTTTTGTTGGGAAATACATTTCATGAGATCCCTGGGGAAAAGTGTAGCATTGCCAAGGATGAGTTTGAGCTAGGGACATCCGTTTCTAACTGTAGCATAGCAGTACTTTACCAGCCCTCCCTAATTCACCAAGATAGACTTTAGTTGCAACCCTAGTCTCAGTCGAAATTTCTCCACTTAGGTTATTTTGTACATGATTGTTCGATTTTAAGTTTCAGATCAGTAGAATGAACTTGAAATAAATTATATTACACGCAATTTCTTTGCCCAAGAATCTATTTCTTTTAAATTATGTTATAGATGATCTTTCACTGGTTCTTCTACCACTTATTAATCTACTTCCGCTTCCATTCAGCTCCCTACACTGAACTGGCAAATGAGGCACTGACAAGAATTGTGGCACATGCTTTATTTACATGCTTAGAGTGGAATGGTCTTGAGATTTCTTTCCCTCTGTTAACTGTGTACAAACAACAAGCCTCACACTAACAAATAATTAAATTAAAATATTGCTTGACATTAACAACTTGATTCTTGTTGTAAAGAGAGATATGTTGCCAAAGCTTTTCCTGGACTATAAAGTTTTGTGATCATTTGAAATTTGGTATTCTCCTGTTCTCCCTGATGAGTGCAAGATGAAAAGCTTTGGCAACATGTCTGTCTTTTGAGTGATATTTAAATTAAAATATATCCTCTTTTTTATTGTTGATTTTGTGTTTGTTAGAAATCAAGCATGGCTGATCGCTCTTTTAGTGCAGCAAATCTTAATCCATACATGACTAGGCCTAATCGACAGAGTAACGGAGCAGAAGCAGGTAAGCCACGAAATTGTTTTCAATTATTGATAGTTACTACTTTTTATTCTTATAGAAAAAATATAAATAACCAAAGTCTTTACTGCTGAACAAACGTGCATATTACTATTACAAAAATGTAAAAATACTTATTTCTAGCTTGCCTGGCTTGTCATTGGCTACCATTGTAGGTTTTCAGAAGCAGTCTGGAGCACTGTATGTAACTTATCAATGCAGGTGGGAAAATAATGCTTTTGTCTAACAATGTTGTAAATCTTGCTATCTTTTTGATCTAGCATATGTAACTCCAGTCAGTTTGCTTAAGAATGTCCAAATCAGAGTGCTGAGAAATCCGAATGATGTTATTTTCCTGATACAGAAAAGAAATTTTATTCCTGTAGTGACCAAGGCTTACTTAACTTGTACAGTCAGGCAAGAGTTGGGAGCAGCCAAGTCTTAGGTTCCCTCAGTTGTACACAGTGATATTGACATTTAACAAGTTAAAGAAGAACAATATATCAGCAAAGGTAATTAACAGTCTTGCTTTTCCAGCATTAATGATCCTACCTGTAAACTTTTGTAAGGTTATCTGGTTTCACTTTTGAAACATTCACATATGAGTAGTGGTTCATGCCTACATGCTTGATTTGATAATGACAGGCATCACTTGTGCCACAAGTCCCAGGTGTTGAACATCTCAAACAATAAAAAAATCTGATGATCATCCCTTGATATCCAATGGCATTACCATCACTGAATCCCCACCGTCAACGTCCACAGAATTATCAATAATTAGAAACATATCTGGAGAAGCCATATAAAATGATGACTAGTAAAGCAGAACAGAGACTGGGAATTCTTCAGTGAAATTCTGATTCACCTGACTCTGTATTACCTACTCACCATCTACAAGGCATAAGTCAGGAGTGTGATGGAATACTGTCCATTTGCCAGAGTAAGTGCGGCTTCAAAAACATGTAAGTTCAACATCATGCAGAGAAAAGCAGCCTGCTTGATTGGCATGCCATCCATCACTCTAACCATTCACTCCCTACACCACCAGCACAGAGTGGCAGCAGTGTGTACCATCCAGGATGCACTGCAGTAATTCATCAAACCTCCTTGATAATGTCCCACACTCCATGTCATTGTTCTATGTTTGCTAGAGGAATAGTTTAAAATTATATAACGGAGAATATTATCCTCAAAATTTGGTGATGGTTTAAATCAGCAACGCACATCTTAATATTGAACTCATGTGCTGGCGTAAAATTTCCATGTAGTTTTCCTGATTGGGACGTTATGTTACAGTTGTATAAGTTGTTGGTGAGGCCACACTTGGAGTATTATGTACAGTTTTGGTCACCCTGTTATAGGAAAGACAAAGTTAAACTGGAAAGTATGCAAAGAAATTTACGACAATGTTGCCAGAACTGGTAGACCTGAGTTATAGGGTGAGGTTGGCCAGGGCAGGACTTTGTTTTTTGGAACGTAGGAGAATGAGGGTCGACCTTATTGAGGTGTATAAAATCATGAGGGTCATAGATAGGATAAATGCATATAATCTTTTTCCCAGGGATGAGAAATGGTGAGAAGGGAGAGATTTAAGACGGGCCTGAGGGGCAACTTCTTCATGCAGAGAGTGGTGCATATATGGAATAGGCTGCCAGAGAAAGTGGTTGAGGCAAGTACAATAACAACATTTAAGAAACATTTGAATAGGTACATGGATGCGGGCAATTGGATCTAGTTTAGAGGGCATCATGGTCAGCTTGTCCCAGTTTGGGCCAAAGGGCCTCTTTTGATGCTGTATTATTCTATGATTGCCCATCATAACTTCAGCTAAAAACCAACATTTTTCTGGAGTCACGGCAAATGATTTAGAGAATCCACAGAGAAATTAACTATCACAATCAATCATCCAATGAGCTCTTTTCTAACCTTTGAAATTTCACTGTTTGATACACAAGGTTTGATCAGAGACTGTTATGTAAGCAGTATGGCCTGGTGCTGCCAAGTCACTCTACTCTAAAATACTTTCTGTGCCAAACTAATAATAAAGGTCAGCACTGAACACATCTCTGCCATTTGACAGATACTCGAAGAGATGCCATGCCTATGGATACCAATGTCTATGAAAGCCCATACGCTGACCCCGATGAGCTGCAGGAAAAAACACTGTATTTGAAAAATGATTGCCTTATACTGGAAGAGAAGGAACTTGGGTCTGGTAACTTTGGTACGGTCAAGAAAGGAGTTTATAAAATGAGGAAGTAAGTATTTTTGAATGAGATAACACACACTGATGCAAAATTCAGAGAATGTAAGATGAACAGTATCTCCAGCTTCCTAATATTTATGTTTTAGCTAGCTAAAAGGTTTACAGTTGATCAACCTATTCTAGATGTCTCCTCTTCAAAATAAAATAACAAAAAAAAAATGAGCACTAAATTGTGTTTAATACAACAATTTAGTTTAATAAGTAATAAGCTACTTAAAGTGATTTTTTACTGTTCATGAAGAAAAATGCAGCACTGCATTATTTGAATAATATGCCATTTTTACAGATATTGGTTTGTGCAGCTGAAATTGATCAAAAACAAAAGTTGCTGGAAAAGCTCAGCAGGCCTAGCAGCATCTGTGAAAGAAAAAACAGAGTTAACGTTTTGGGTCCAGTGACCCTTCCTCAGAACTGAAATAGATCAAAATTGGCAATCTACCTTTGCCAAGGACTGCTCAAGTGCACTTAAATCTGGAAATTGACAAGTTGAAGTTGGGTTTCCATTACAGTCAATTTCAAACCTTTCAGCTCTTTCCCCCAATGCCCCCAACCTAATCCCAAGCCCACATACTGCCATAAATTAAAATTCATCCCATTGTGTCTTGATTTATTTTAACAGGAAAAATATAAGTGTAGCAGTAAAAGTGTTGAAGAGTGATGATCCTGCAGTAAAAGATGAACTGATGAAGGAAGCAAACTTCATGCATCAACTTGATAACCCTTACATCGTCCGCATGATTGGCATATGTGAAAGGGAGTGTTTGATGCTGGTGATGGAACTTGCAGAACAAGGCCAACTTAACAAATTTCTACAGGCTCACAAGTGAGTCCAGTTTTCTTTTGTATATTGTGATACTTCAATTTTCAGCAAGTCATTCAAATGGACACACACACTTTTGACACCACGAGGGTTTTAAATCACATATTCAAGTGCAACATTTTGCAAAAATAACTGTGGTTAATTTCATATAGTTAATTTGTATTTCTATGTATATGAATCTGAACAGAATTGGTTCTAAATTTCAAACCTAACATTTGACGCTCAGAAATTTCTTCCAATTAAATACTAGGAAAACCAAAGCCACTGTTTTTAGTTGCTGCCGTAAGCATTATTCTACAGCCTTCAAAAACGTCTCTCTCCCTGACAACTGTCTGAGGCTGAACCAGAAGGTTTGCAACATTTTTGTTAATTGTCACCTTGAGATGATGAATTTCCAATCACTCACTGGCGCCATCACTTGACTGCCTATTTCCACAACCATAAAATTGTCCATCCCCATCTCTGCTTGATCGCTGAAACCCTTATCTATGCCTTTGTTGCTTACAGCTTTGACAATCCAACAAGTCCTGGTCAGCCTTGGACTTTTCTACCCTTCATAAGCTTGGGGTCATTCAAACGTCTGCTGCCAATCTCTTTACTATCATAAAGTTTCACTCCCAGCAAGTTCTGATCAGTCTTTATCCCTGTGCTTGATGACCTACCTTGCTGCCCATATGTGGATTGGTTAGCTCAGTTAGCTGGATGGCTAGATTGAGATGCCGTATGATGTCAGCAACATCGGTTCAATTGCCATACTGACTAACAATGGTCACCAGCTTTTCAACCTTGTCCTTTAACTGAGATTAGTGACTCTTGGGTTAGACTCCCCGCACTCATTTTCCCTTCTATAATGACAGAGCAGCCTCATAGACAATGGTGGCTTTCACTTTCGCATTAGCTTCCAGTTAAACAGTATCTCAGTTTTAAAATTCTCATCCTTATTTTCTATTTCAGGGACTGACCCCTATCTCTGTGATCTCCTCTAATTTCACAAACTCCAAGATATCTGTGGTCATTCAATCATGGTATCTTGAGTATTCTAAATTTCAATTACAGCACTATTGATGTGGGCTTATTTTCATCTGTTTGGGCAATAAGCTCTGGAATAAAAGCAGCAATTGCTGGATAAACTCAATAGGTATGGCAGCAGCTGTGGAGAGACAACAGAGTAAACATTTTGAGTCTAGTAAACCTTCTTCAGAATTGATAGTAGCTAGGAAAAGGAGGTATTTATGCTGATGACCAGGGGTGGGGGAGCAAGCAAATGTGCAGATAGTTGGAGAAGGAGCTCCAAAGGAGAAAAAGACAGTTATGCAAACAAAGAAATGGCTGGTAGTAAGCCAGGGAAGGAATAAAGCTGATAGTGGGAACCACAAGCATGTGAAAATCGGCTGGCTGTGCCCATGTCATGACAGAGCCTGAGTTGTGGGACTGAGTGAAGGATTCGGAATGAGATGTTCAGGCTCTAAAGTTATTGAATTCGATATTGAGTCCAAGAGGCTGCAGAGTCCCCAAGTGGAAGATGAGATACTGTTCTTTGGCTTGCACTGAGCCACACTTAAGCACTGCAACAGACCCGAGACAGAAATATTGGCCAGGGAACACGGTAGTGTTTTGAATTAGGAGGCAACAGGAAGCTCAGGGTCATTTTTATGAAAAGAATGTAGGTGTTCTGCAAAGTGCTCATCCAGTCTGTGTTTTGTCTCCAAAATATAGAGGAGGCCATATTGTAAGCAGCAAAGCTCTGGAATTCACTTTTGCTATCTTGCTACTTCTTGGGCCCCCTTTAAGACATTGTAAATATAGAAATAGACAAACTAAGAGCAGAAGTAGATAATTTGTGGTCTCCCATTGATCATGGCTAATCTTGTAGACACATAGAATCATAGAGTTGTACAGCACAGGAATAGACCCTTAAGTCCAACTTGTCCATAATTACCAGATATCCTAAATTAATATAGTCCTATTTGCCAGCATTTGGCCGATAACCCGCTAAACCCTTCCCATTCATGTACCCATCCAAATGCCTTTTAAATGTTATAATTGTACCAGCCTCCACCACTTCGTATGGCACCTCATTCCATACACATCCTCTGTGTGAAAAAGTTGCCCTCAGGTCCCATTTAAATCTTTCCCCTCTCACCTTAAACCTATGCCTTCTAGTTTTGGACTCCCCTGCCCTGGGAAAAAGACCATGGCTATCACCCTCTCCATGCCCCTTGTGATTTTCTAAACCTCTATAAGGTCACCCCTCAGCCTATTCAGCCTCTCCCTAAAACTCAAATCCTCCAACCTCACATTATTGTAAATATTTTCTGTACCTTTTCAAGGTTAACAACATCCTTCCAATAGCAGGGAGACCAAAATCGAATGCAGTATTCCAAAAGAAGCCTGACCAAGTATCTTCTATCTTAATAATACATTCTGTCTTCCTCCCATGCCTTGATGCCTTTAAAATCTAAAAATGTACCTAACTTTTTCTCGAATATATTCAGTGATTTGACCTCCAGAACCTTCTTTGATAGAGAATTCCACAGATTCATTATCCTAACAATGAATCAATGTTTCTTTATCTCAGTCCTAAATTGTGTACCCTCTATCTTGAGATTGCGTCTCCTGGTTTTAGACTTCCCAACTAGGGAAACACCCTTCCTGCATCTAGTCTGTTTAGCTATGTTAGAATTAGATATTTTAGATATGTTTCAATTTTATCCGCTCTCAACCTTCTAAACTGTAGTGAACATAGGAGTATTCAAACCTTATTGAATATTCCTGCGATCTCCAGTATGTCCTCTATCTGTTACATGTTTGCTCACTCACAAGGCTTGCCTAAATCACCTTAAAGACTCCTTGCATCCTCTCACAGCTCACAATTCTGCCCAGCTCTGTGTCATCAGAAAACTTGGAAATGTTACATTTGATTCCCTTTTCCACGTCATTAATATATGTAGGTAAACAGCTGGGGCCCAAGCACTGCTTCTTGTGGCATCCTGGAGTGGCTGCCAATTGAAAAAAGAGCCATTTATTCTCACTTTCTGTTTCCAGTTTGTCAACTAATCCTCTATTCATGCCAATATATTACCTCCTATCACAAGGGAATTGCCCAGCTAATTGAAAATTCTGCAGGGCAATTCCGCTGTGCTTGAAACCCTCCAAAAGCACCTATTTAAATTGGAGAATCTGGAGGATTACGCAGCCTAACTCCTGGATAACTACCAAACGAACCACTCAACCACAAAACCACAACTGCACCTCTCCTGACCCCTTAACAGCCTCCACATTTTAACTCAGTACCTCTCTTCTCCCACCTGATCTGACACCCACTCTCCCATCATTGGACCCAACACCCCCGTTTGTCCCCAGGATATGGCACTCCCCTACTGTGAGACCCAAAGCCCATTGTCCCTGAGACCTGTTAACCCCACCTCATCATTGGACCCAACACCCACTCCCCCCTACCACTGCTGAATCCACCCCTCCCACCTCACCCTAATGGCTGAACACCCTCCTCCCCTCAGGTCCAAAAAATGCATCCCTACTTCCATGAGATTTGAACTCCACCCCCCTTGCTAGACCCTTGTCCATCCTTGGCCTCCACCAATATCAGAGTGAAGCCAAACGTAAACTGGAGGAACAAAACCTCATATTTCACCTTGGGAGTTTACCACCCAATGGCCTGATATCCTGCCCACCCTAACTACTCAAAGCATTCCTGGTCCCCTTCCCAACATGCACCTTGACATTCTACTCATCCAACACCCTACTTACCTAGCACCATACCCACTGGGCACCCTACCCCCTACCTAACTGGAACTCTCCCCACCTGGCAATCTACTTAACTGGCACCCTACCTACTTGGCACTCTAACCTCACATTACCTTACCCTTTTACAGGAGCTGTCTGAAGGCGTCCTGATGAGAATCTCCTGTCAGAAATGTAGAGCTCTTTTCTTATTGCAATAAAGTAGGAATGGAGTGGCAATTTGACTGTGAATCCAGCTGCTTTATTTCAGGTCCTGATTACCAGTGCTATTAATAGCTTTAAAAATAGCTTTGCAAGAATATATTATCAGCTCAGATGCTGTACATTTCAATACAAGTTCATATTTTGACTCAACTTTTTGTTCAAAGCTAATGACAATTTTCATTGGTAGGCCAGAATCTGCTCCTGTTTGGAACCCAAATTATCATATGTTCCATGACTGGGGGTATTGGGCCACAGGATTAACAGCTGCCCTTTTATGATGATATTTTATCATATTTTGTTCAATATCAAGTCTTAGATGTGCCACAATTATCTAAACAGTAGGGACACAAAAGGAATTTCCTTGGCTCCACTACAAGGTTGTTCCTTCCCAATCGATTCCACTGCCCATCTCAGCCATGTTTCAGGCTGGAAAAGATAGCTTTTTATCTTGACCTCTCATTCAACTCAAAGGTGAATAGCTCATACACTGAGATAGTAGGAACTGCAGATGCTGGAGAATCTGAGATAACAAGGTGTAGAGCTGGATGAACACAATAGGCCAAGCAGCATCAGAGGAGCAGGAAGGCTGACGTTTCGGGCCCAGACCCAAGCGACTGAATACTCATCTGGCACAGGTTCACCTAATGTTA